ACTTAAGTTGAAGAGGAAACTTGAAGTCAGATTTTAGCCCCAAACTCAAGTTAAAAATCAAGTTCAAACTCAAATTTTACAAACGAACATGAATTTGAATAAAATTATAACTTAAGTTCAAACCTTTTTTAAGTTTTATTCCAAAAAAAAAACAAGCCTTTAATCTAAAAGTTACAAACAAAGTAAAATACTATATTTACATTTACTTCATGAAATATATTTCATAAATACTTTCTTAAAAAAACCATACGTCTCGGTTCCCCGTCGTTGGCTTCCGGAGAAGAAGGTGGTGTCGTTGGCGTTGTGACGCAAGTGTAAGAGCGGTCGAATCTAGTTCGAGGTCCCACCGGAGATGTGCTGACGATCATGACGTCGTACGTCCGCCGCGATTCAGAGGAGGGAGAACGAACAGAGAGAAACGACGAAATCAGAGGTGAGAAAATGACGCGATGTCATCTTCGCTCGGTTCCCAGAGATCATGGTGATCTCCTCAGCCGTCACAACATTGTGAAATATCTGCCGGATCTAGTTCAAGGTCCATTAGAGATTGATGACATTAACTTTGTTGCCAGTGGTCTCCGTCGTCGTCATCCTTAACGACGTTGTCTTCACCGCAGGTGGAGTCACAAGTTCTTGGAGATCGAAGATCAGAGTTGCAATCTATGCTCCCAGAGATGGCAATGAGAGAGAGAGAGAGTAACGCCTCAACCCCCATAGGGTTCACCTTGTAGGATTCCAGGCGTAGTCGGGTCTTATACTCGTTACTTATACATACTGTTCCTTCTAGGCACCTAGCGACTCTTAGAGAAAGAGGTCTATTAGTACCAATACTTGACTTAAGAACCTTATAAGGAGAGAAGTCTTGGGTTCAGGTTTTGGGGGACGTGAAAAAATCCCTAAGAGCTACTAGGTGCCTAAAAGGTACAGTGAAGATTGTTTTCAAGAGGATATTAAATTTATAAACCTTGCTAGAATGTGATCGTAGTATAGTGTAGTGATTGAGTAAGGGTTCGTTCTCGTAGAAGATTAGGTTTAATCAATAAGTTATTAAGTTTGCAAAATGAAAATATAAATAAGAGGGCCTGGAAAAGCAAAACTTGACATAAATTAAAAAGAAACAATCAATGAAAGAAAACAGGTTAAAAGATCAATCTCCACCACTAGACAATGGAATCATAATGAACAAATATATTATTCCCAATTCCTTACCAAAACTATCAACCATAAATAACAATAAGCTCTGTTACCCCAGTCTTTCCTTAGTTTGTCGTTAAGCAAAACAAGCTATTTATTTAATCTCTTTCCCTCAAACAACCTAGAACAAGCTCTCTAGATTCAATCTAAAGGAAGCAATATGATGAGAAAGATAGGTTGATCTAGATAACAATCACACAAGCTCGGATCATTCAACCTAGGTTATATTCCACATGCAATCAAACAAAGCCTCCCGCAATTATTGACCACAATTCGCTACTAATGATTAAGAATTCAAAACAATTACGGATCAAGACTCATAATCTAGCAATAAATAATTTTCAAGTCCTCTTTAGTTGGCCACCTAAACAAAACAAGAAAATAATCATGAACAATATTTATGAAAGAACATAATCAATTTCAATAGAAAACCGAAAAATAACATCATAATATCCATCACAAATCCATGTTTAGGGTTTTGAAATCACCCTCAACCAAAATAAAATGTAGCTAAAATAATGAAAAAGAAAATAAAAACTAAAGACAATAAAGCGAGAAGGGAAGAAAGAACTAGAATAATCTTCAAGAATCTCCTTTTTTTTCTTTTTCTTCTTCATCTCTTGATGGCTAAAAAATAATAGGTAAAAGCTCTCTAATTCAATCCCAAAGTCCCCTATTTATAAATTTTCAAGTTGAGGTCAAATATGGTAAGTTTTAGTATCAAAAATCACTTTTCTTGGCGGCCAAGTCTGGGGTAGGGGCGCGTATCAGCCAGTCTGGGGCAGGGGCGCGGGCGCGTGCCCCTCTCTGCCAGCGCACCACACAGGCGCACTGGTGCTGCGGGTGAGTGGCCAACCAAAGATATTTCTTTTATTCCTTTGATTTTAAAACCTACAAAACATAAAAACACAAGTTATAACACAAAATACTCAAGAACAAAGCAAAGAAAAATGGGAAATTTAATTTAAAAAATATATGAAATTTTGCACTTATCAGATAATATGTATGAGTAACGAGTATAAGATTCGACTATGCTGGGGTTCCCGTAAGGTGGACTCCACGGGGGTTGAGGCGTTATAGAGAGAGGTTAGAGAGATAGTGTATCGGCTGGGAAAGAATTTAAGGAAGAAAAAAAGAAACCCTAAAAGTAAGGATAAATTTGTCAAAGAATATTTTATGAGAAATTTAAAATTAGAAATCTACTATAATTTATCATCACTTGAAAAATATTCTATTTACCTGAAAAGCATATCTAAAATATGCTATTTAGTGCATTTTCTGAGAAAAAAATTGCTTGTGTTGTTTTTTTTTTCCCTTGTTTTTTTTTTTTTTTGGGTTTTGTGATGTTCTGCAGGTTCTAAAGATCATGACATACTTAGGTATAGGCTTCTAACGGTTGGTAGGAGTTGCATCACAACTGATTGCCAAGAAAAAATATAGTATATTGCTTGAAGTTCAAGTTCTGTTAAATGATATTTTGGTTGTTGTTAGTTTCCTACGTTGGGCAATACTTCATATTGCCTCATTATTTTTTAATTAGCTTCTAGTAATATGGCAATAATTAAACGCATAACTCAAAACAAATCACAAAAGTAATAAAATATATGTTTTTATTTTTCTTATTATCAATACTTTTTAGTATTTTTTTGACTAATTTACTTTTTAAGACTTATTTTATTATTGTGTTGACTATTTTATATAAATCATTTATTAACAAATATCAATTTTATTATTAAATTTTATTCTAATTTATATATTTAATAATTAATATTATTAGGAATGTACAGTAAAAAAATTTATTTTTGCGACGACAAATCTAAAATGTCTTCGCAAATAGTCTACATTACTAGCGATGACACTTTAGATTTGTCGTCGCAAAATGTTTCAGAAACTTTTGCGACGACATTTGTTGTTGCAAATAATTTAAGACACGTCATCATCAACGATATACTGGACGGAACATTTGTGACGACTTATTCGAGACGACTGTCGTTGCTAATATATTTGCGATGACATTTCAAAACTATGTCGTCGTAAATATATTATTTGCGTCAGATTTTTTACGATGACAAATTTGTGACAATATGTCGTCGAAAATAAAATATTTGCGACGACATGATGTCGCCGCAAATGAGCTTTTTTGTTGTAGTGTCAGAGGAACTAACTAACTATTTAAAGACGTCAAGGTAAGTGCATCTAACATCTCCTTATATGTACAAATTTAATGATATATTGAAAGCGAAAATCATTAGCAGGGTTAGTGATATTATACAAACTTTTAATTTGGCGGCAATGTGGAAAAAATAAAAGGAAGACAAAAGTGGACAAATAACTTAGCATGTAATTTTCATAATTGTGTAGAATTGCTTGCTATTTTTCAGACCAAGCAGGCTGGTCGTAATGAGTACCGGTCAAAGATCATGTCTAGCAGATCAACACATCGAGCGAATTGGCCCTCAGTTCTCTAAGCAGATCGTTCTAACCATGCAGACCGATCTCTGATCTTCTAAGTAGATCGTTTCGACTATGCAGACTAATTTCCGATCCTCTAAGCAGATCGTTTCCCAATCCTCTAAGGAGCTCGTTCCGACTAAGCACATTAGTACATGATCTTCTAAACAGATCAATCTTTGGGTCGATAATATTGGGTCGATAATAGTGCCTTGAACTACGAAATTTCTAAAATTATGGTAAGCAAAATCAAAATTAAAGTTAAATTCACCTATTAATGTGGATTAACCCGATCTCAATGTAATATCACTATACAATGACATTACATTGGTAACAGTGTGACAATAACACCTCGGTTGCTCAAATTCGTGAAATAATGATTGAAAAATTTAAAATTAAAGTAGAGTTTTGACCGATCCATGATATTCTTGGGAATATCCTTCCAACCAAGGACACTAGTAAGAAAACATCAAAGCAAACGGGTTTTCTATATATTGACGTTAATGTTATATTGTTTGCAATACTAATAGTATGACAACACGTACCTTGGTCACCTAAATTTGTGGAAAATCATGATAAGCAAATCTAAATAAAAGTCTCTCAATCTTCTAAGTATGTCTTTCCAAGCGGACAAACCGATGACGCTATATAGTGTTGCAATAATAATAGCGTGACAGTAATATCTTGGTCACCTAAATTTATGAAATTATAATAGTACCCCGGTCACTTATTTTAGTGACATTATGTTCAATGATGTTAAATTAATATGAGATTTCTCTTATTAATAAGAGCTATTTCCATCTTAACCTAATTTGAACGTGTGACATTATAGCATATATAGTGTTATAACAATACCTATGGCTCCTCCTCTAAAAAGATTATTTTGAATTTTTATTTTTTCGCTTGGCACGGAGCATTAATTTGGGGACAAAGGATCACTAAAGTTGTTCATATTTTTATATTTAATTTTTTGGTTAAACTTTTTTTTAAAGTGTTTTCTCCCACGAAAACTTAAAAACAAATTTTCATCTCTTTAGAAATCTATGAACTAATAATTGCAATTTGATCAGTTAACATATCTGTTGGCCAAAAAGAGAGAATGATATAACACTAGATACTTCCAAGAAAATTCTGAAATTACAAGATTACGGATGTTGGAAAAATAAATCTATCTCCCATTTTATTAATAACAATCACTGATCGCACACTTGCCGTGAACAAACATATATACTTTCTCGTCAAGTACAAAGTCCAATTCTAATGCAACAAAAACACAGAATAATTTATCTTGATGATCAGCTGCCAAATTTCTTTATTCCCTACCGTTGAAAAAACGAAATGCAAGCGTTAATGTTCTACTTCTGATCAATATCTCCCGCCTTTCCCGAGGCAACAGAGGAAATAGAATCATCAGTAGTGTATGATCTTTCTAAAGATTGATCGTTTTCGTCTTCCGACTGATCCAAAAACTGTATCTCCTCCACCTCCCTCGCCACTTCCGCCATCTCCGGACGCTTCTCCGGCGACTTCTCCACGCAATGCAAGGCAATCTCTAGCAACCTCAGCATCCCGGGGACAGCGCTTCTCCGGTTCACCGCAATCTCCGCGTCGAAAATCTCCGCCGTCCATTCCTCCCTAATGGCCTTTTGCACCCAGGTGCATAGGTCCACACCCCTCACACCTGGTGGTGCCGTGTAGGCTCCGATTTTTCCTGTGAGGAGTTCCAAAAGGAGGCAGCCGTAGCTCCACACGTCGGATTTTTTCGAGACTCGCCTCGTAGACTGGTATTCGGGAGATCGGTAGGAGACTGTGCGCTGAGCTGCGACGGGAAGGGCGGCGAGAGAACCGAGGCAGTAGTCGGAGACGAGGGCGATGTCGTTGGAATCAAGAAGGACATTTGTGGATTTTAGGTTTCCGTGAGGAGCAAGAAATGTGGTGTTGAGGTGTAGGTATTCCATGGCTCGAGCTACACCTCGAGCGACGTTTAGTCGTCCGGCCCATCGGAATGGAATTTTCTCTCCCTTCCGTCTTCCTCCTGCAAGTTTGATTTGTTTCTTGTCAATCAACGTAAATTTGTTCCGTTGTACAACTTTTTTTTTTTAATTTTTTTTATAGGCTAACATATAACAATATTAATTTCTCGTGCAACAATTTAAGCATCACAATTTGAATTACAACTCAAACTTTTTACTACAGTATATTCTCTCACAAAAATTCAAAAAATTTAACTTTTTTATTACAATATTTTCTTTTATATAAATTTACTTTTCAACTCAAATTCTTAACTTGAAGTTGCAAAAAAGGTAAGAGACCAACGAAGTAATCGGAGTGCAATGATTTTGTTAGTTAAGAACAAACAACAAATTTATTAGAGCATTGTAGCACACTCATTAAATCAATTTCTCAAGAATTTTAACTAAAAAAATCCCAACACACTCCAATATTTTAGCCTATAACTATTTTGCAATTCTTTTAAGAAGTAACGCCCACTAATTTATTAGCCAATAAATAGAGAAAAAAATTATAACAAACTGGAGCACAAAATTTTTCCCATCTAAAAAAACTAACATTAATTTAGAAATAACAATCCCAAGACTCAAGCAATCAAATAGCTAGTAACAAGAAATGAACTCACCATGAAGACGGTCAAACAGGTTTCCTCTCTCCACATACTTGTAAAGCAAGAGCTTCTCATCCTTTCTGTTGTAGTAAGCAAGAAATGACAGCAAATTAGGGTGATTAAGGTTTGCAATCACCAACAACTGCTTCGAAAATTCGTCGTCCGTCATCGGCTTCAAATTCTTAAGCCTCTTCACCACAACAACAGGCTTTCCTTCCATCATTGCCTTGTAACAATTCCCAAAAGTCCCTTGTCCCAACCCTTCAGCAGACGCCTTTAGAAGATCACTCATATCAAAAGTACTATTACTTCCTTGGCCATGGTTATTATTATCCGCCATAAATACAAGCTTTCCTCTCCCTTGTCCGGAAATATTATTTCTAATATTATTACTAATTGCCCTTGATCTTTGACGATTATGATCTCCTTCTACTTCCGTGATATTCAGCTGATCAAGCTCACTTTTCTCGGTTCTTAATTCCTCTCTTTCCTTATATTCTCTCGTCATCTTCTTCAGCTTCCTCGCTTTGTTGTAGTAGAAAAGACATAGAAATATCACCAATGCTATTAAAACGGCGTTGAGTAATAATAAGATTGCTTTCAAATTGTGCTTGAGGGACTGCAAAAAGGAGCCCTGATCAGTCTTTTCATCCGAGGGTGCTTCTGCTGCTGCGTCGTGTTTGATGGAGTTGCAAGGCGTTGAAGAAGGCGGTCCACACAATCCAGGATTGCCGTCGTACGAATCGCGACCGAACAATTGGAGAGCTCGAGTTTTCGGGATTGAGCCACTTAGATTGTTGTTCGAGACGTCGAATTCTTTCAAGCTAGATTGGTTGAATTCCGGGATTGTGCCGGTGAAATAGTTGCCCTGCAAAAGCAGTGACTCTAGTACTGAAATTCCCACAAGGGAAATCGGAATCTGCCCCGAAAACATGTTTCCCGAGAGATCGACACGAGTCAAGTTGCGGTTGGGAGAGAAGTCTATCTCAGTACCGCTTACAGAATTGCTCTTTAAGCTCAGAACAGACAATTCAGTGAAACCAGTAAAGGCATTGGATCTTATATTTCCCCTGAGTTCCATATTATCCAAAGCTATTTCTGTAACATGACCATTGGAATTACATCGAACTCCGTACCATTGTGAGGCATTGTTATAGCAATGAGGACCATTCCAGACTCCATTTAGGAAAGGACTGTTAAAAACAGCCTTCAGAGCATAAAGAGCTTGTCTTTCTTTCACACTGTAACCCAATGCTGGAGAGTCATTTTGGGCTAAAGAAAAGCTGCGTAACAAAAGAAGGGAAGTGATCACAAGGAAATATTTGAAGGGCAATGGAGAGCTTTTCGCCATTATTTCCGATTTCGAAATGAGAGTGGAGTAAGTGCACATCAAAATCATGATAGGTTAAATTATTAGCTTCAAGGTGTGGCTAGCTCGAAGCAATCGTAAAACATTCTCATTGAAATCCCATATTTACAGCTAGAAGACTTTCTTTAATGTCTTTCTTTAATGTTGAAGACAGAAACGAGGAAAGTTATTTGACTCCTTATTGTTGGATCTTTCTGCTTGTTATTGTTGGAAAGTCTGTTTGTTTTGTCTCCTTATAATGAGGTTTTCCAGCTAGCTAGGTACCAGAATCAATTGATCTAAAAATATTAGTAACTTCAAAAGCCTTAGTAATGTTTTCGATAATCTCTTGTTCCGTGAAACTAACATTAATAAAAATTATAATTATATGTGATTTCAATGACATACTTAGGACAGCTCATGTTGTTAATAACATAGCTTAAACCTTGCTTATTGGTTTGGTCAAAACTGATATGACCGGATTGATTATTGGCAAGTCTTCCAAGGCATTCATGGAATTCAAGATTAATTTTATCTTGATGAAAAGGACAAGTCTCTTGTCAATATTCTCAAACAAACAAATTGCGCATCTTTGAAGGTCTTGTGAAAAAATAATGCACAATGTATGATCAGTACTGAAAGCTCTTCAAGCAAAGACTACCGAGAGGAGACAGCGACCATGAAGCAAGAGAAAATGTTTTCACGACAACAAAGAGGATGACATAAGAAATATTAGAATAATAAAAATCAAAGAGATAGATCAGTTAGCCTGCTGATTCACACAAAACGTTAATAATAAAACCGCTTTAAAGTCCGTTGATTCACATAGAATATTAGAGATTGGCATCAAAATTATTCGTTTATTCACAAAAGATTGAAAATTTAAAATTCATTCATAAAAAAGCTTCTACTTGTTACATATGATTGGACTCACATATTATATTTGTAAGTTAAACTGTACATCAAACGGTGCAGGAAACTAAAAATAAGATTGCAGAAATAAATAATTCCGATAATTAAAAATAAAAAAAGGAAACTAGCTTATATTTTGCTGAAAATTTGGCTTTCTTATATCAAATTATTAAAAATGAAACTTTTCTAGCTAGTTTTTTAGAATAGAATTTGACTTTTCTTCTCGCATAATTGTCTGAGCTAAAAGTATGATTCCTAACCACCACATGATTTCCTAGAAGCGGTGCTAGTAGAAGATATTGCAGTGAATTAAACAAACACCAATATCATTCTTATACTTATTTGTAAAGGTTCTAACAAACCTATAAGTATCAAGCGGGATATCTCTGAATATTATTAACTATTGTTGGAATTTTCAACATCACATTGTGATATAACGGTTACCAATGACTATTATTCGGTGTCTTAATATCATTATATTATTAGAGATATATGTATTATTCAAACACGATAGCAATGACATTGTTGGAAGAATTTTTTTTCTTATGGTACAAATCGGCCGGCATGGATTAGTGTCTCTCTCTTCTTCTTCTTCTTCTTCTTTTTTTTTTTTTTTCTCCTAAGTCCCTGGCTCAACATTTTCCTAGTGCATATTGTAGATAGACAAATTTTTGTTGGACATTAAAGATTAAAAGCCTGTTTATAGACAGGTCAATATACATGCCATTTATATCATCCATGACATGTATAAGTCCTTGCCATGTATGGACCTGTAGTGATACACGTGCGGAGACGAGATGGACATGGCATTATCAACAAGCCCTTGACACAGACAAATTTTGCTATACAATAATTAATAGTGTAAGCAGCATGAAATGACCTGTCGTTATCATCACGGAAACAATGCTGTGGATCGATAGTATATTCAAGTCTGATGAAGTGGAAGCTTAATTAAGAAAAATAAAATAAATAAATCAGTTAGTATGTTGATTTACATATAATATTAGAAAAATTCCTTTAAAAATTGTTAATTCACATAAAATACTAGAATTTAAGAGAAAATTGAGAGAAAACTCAAAATTTTATTCAAATGAAATGGTTTTTATTATAATAGGGCGTTTTAATATATGGGCAAAACAAAAATTAGAAACTAGTCTATCCTGAAATAAAAAAATATGAAATTTTTCAAAAAAGGAAAAATTTTGAATTGGAAAGAAGAATTGAAACTATCAGACACAAGGAAAAAGGAAACGCAATTGGAACTGGAATATGAATTTCTTAGGTCAACTTATTACAAAGATGGAAGTTACTAAAAAGGAAAAAACGCCCTTTTGAAGACGTAAACGATGGAATTTACCCGAAAATTGTTTAGTGAGTTGTTTTAACCCATACAACACATATTTTTGTTTAAATCGAACATCGCTAAAAAACCCCATGAAAATTAGAAAATTTGTCTCATTTAGCTTTGAGATGTTCCAAACGCACCCTAAAAGTGAAATTCTTCTACACCGCATCAAAGTCACTAAGTATTATATACTAAATTGTGTGATAAAATTCTGCTCGAATTTGGTGGAAAAGGTTATTTTACTTTATCCACTGAAACTATGTAACTTGGATTAGTTTTTCAATTACAAGGTAGGGCCCTTTCATATTACACGCTGTAAATTTTTAATGTGCGCGGACATGTACATGTTAAAATATTAATCCAACAGTTAATTACAATAGCTCTCAGGATGGAGAAAAACATGCATATATATCCTACCATAAAGATATGGCATTGTATTGAGATATTTTGAGCTTCCTTTTCACTTGGAAGGAAATGACCAATTTGAAATGTATACTCAAATCATGATTCTTAATTCTGACGTTTGAAATTCAAATTTTTTTGTGAGAAGAAAACACGAGCTTTAAAGGGAATTACCATAGGTTTTAAGCTTAAATTGACATATGACAGGATATATAAACTATTGTAGAGAATACCACAACCATGTTATTACACTAGATTTAGAATATTAAATATATCTTTAGGATATTGATGGGTGTCCGGTCGAAATACTCATCACTATCCGACCACAATACCAGGTATCTGGCCGAGATACCACTGGTATCTAGCCGAGATACCACCAATAACTGGCCAACAAGTGCCGATATTGGCGGCAATCTAACCGTTCTAGTGCCAGAATACCTAAAAATTAATAAAAGTACCAAATAATACAGAGAAAAGCACAAAACCTTCACAAAATACACAAATCTATACAATTTCTTTAAAAAAAAAAATGACAAATAGATTAGCACAAAAACAAACATGTCCTCGGCACGGCGGCGGTAGCGGAACATCGGTGGTTCACTTCCCTTCGCCACCACAAAAAGTTCCCTGCATATCCGGCCGCAGTAAATCTTCCTCGCCGCAATCGCGCCTTGCACGCCGTCCTACCAAAGAGGAAGTGGATCTCGCTGGCCCGTAAATCTGAGAAGCTAGACACGGGATCTATGAGAACTGATGACGAGGAAGGAACGATGGTAAGAGAAGAAGCGGCAAGGGCTGAACAAAGGCGGAGCACTATGAAAAAGCGACCCATGGCAACGGCACCGCGACGTTGGTCGATCTGCTTCCCACGATGACATCTACGTTGATCTATTTGGCGATTCGATCTGCAAGCATGTCGCTCGAAATTCCCTCGATCAAGCCGAAGAGATGTCGCCTGCGAGAGTGAAGAACCTTGATGGCCGGAAGCGCTAGCGAGAGTGAAGAATCTTGGTTGCCGGAAGTGAGAGAGAGAGAAGAGGAGGAGGCGGCTGGGAAGTGATTGAGAGAAAGAGAGATAAGAACCTTAGATTTAATTTAAGGGTACTTTAGTCAGGACATAATTTAAGGAGAAAGGAGATTTATACCATGCTTTGAATCATGGTTCATGGTTTACTATAGTGTTTTCTATCATAAAAAAATATACGTAAATAAAAAATGATTCTAATCTCATGATTCTAATTTATGAACTAAACGTCTCCTAAATGATTCACTATAGTACTTTTTGTAATAGTTTTAGTAAGTCAATCCACTCCTAAAGTATGTGGCAGGTTCCTTAAATGTTTCAAAAAATATTATAACAGAATTAATAATTTAAGTTTAAATAGGTAAAGTAAACATGCCTAAAAATCTTGAATATTCCAACCCTCTCTTTATTATGAAACGACTCCCTACATCACTATAAAATAAACTCGTTATGTTTTAAGTAGAGCTCGGGAAAAGAAAATATCTAGAATTATTGAAACATGATACATATTAATTATTCCAAGTGGATTATGACATACATAGACCTTGTTGGACTATACTATTATAACAATATTTAACAGTAGCATTAAGTATCATATAATAAAAGGTGAACTCTACCGCTAAATCACTTCATGTGAGATTCATTTTTTATTAGCCTTTGATATCATACAACATTGTTTATATATATTTTCAATAATGTAAGCACTAGGAAAAGGGGCAAAAAGATATCATATAACATTGTTTATATATATTTTCAATAATGTAAGCACTAGGAAAAGGGGAAAAAAGAAGTTAGTGGTGTTCATTCAATCTAATCCAACTTATTTCAGTCATATAATAATTAATCCAATTAAAGATTAGTTTTTAAAATTTACATCCAATCCAATTTAATATTTACTAATGTATTATCCAATTTAATCCAATGCCATTAAGACCAGTTTAGATTGGATTGAACTAATCAGTATTTTACTTGATCTTTTTGTACAAATTTAATTTTTATTTTATATTCAACCTATTTGTTAAATCTTTTTGATAAAATTTAAATACTATAGTTGAAAAAAATGAAGTACGAATTAACATCTATAAATTTAAAAAAGTATGTATACTCCAAATTACTTCAAAATGAAAGATATCTTTTTTCTTTTAACATCTAACTTTTTATTTTTATTAATTTTTCTAATAGACTTGCAGAAAAGAATAACATCATAAGCAAACACAAGACACCTTTGAAAAAATTCATCCAAATAAAATTAATTTGCTTACTAGTTAATCGGTTAATCCTCAGCCAGACAAATGAATAAATAAATAAAAGAAAAAAAGAAAGAAAGAAAAAGAAAAAGGTGATAAGGGTTGCCTGACTGACACGTTTGAAAACTAATTCATCCGGAGTTGTCGGAGGAAAGATCAAAACCAAATAAAAACAAAGCAAAACAGAATTTAAGGCCTTCGTTCAGTTCGCGGATTCAAGTTTTTAATTCGTTGAGATGTGATTTTATGTGAGAGCTTTTCACTATAACAGAAAAAGTTAGATATAACTTTTTATGATAGCTTTTAACTGCAGCAAAACTCAAATTTGTGAAATGAACGAGACTTAAGACCTCATTCATTTTACCGATTTGAGTATTCAATTCTAAGTTTCTATAGTTAAAAGCTCTCAGTAAATGTTATATCTAACTTTTTTTACTACAATTAAAAACTCTTAGAATATATTACATCTCAGTTCGAATTAAAAATTCGAATATGTAAATCGAATGAAGACTAAATAAACGAAATTTAAAAGGAGCAGTATAGCATTTTTGATTTTTTAGTCAATAATCTACATGATACAAACCATTATAATACGCAGCTTTCATGTACGTAACCAAATAATATTATTGCTTACACTTTGCTGCTTCTTCTCATACATCAAATAAATAACCATCGATTGAGCCACCTAATTGCCAAACAATACATTTTTCTTATTAACTATGAAGTGATCGCGGAATTGAGTTTGGTAGATCACATATGATCAGTTATTAATTAATTGTCGTACAGACTTTGCGGATTTCACCTTGAGTCCCAGTTTTGACGCCAATATTACTCATCTTCACCATGGACTTGGCAAACTCCCCGTTGAAGTTTAGGCTTTGTGGTCCCTTCCCCGCTAAGAAGCGTTGGACGATCGTCCTTGTGGAGGGATCAGTCCACAACTTCTGATCGGACTCGAGAATTCCTCTTCCATTTCTCAAGTTCGCAAAGAAGTTGGTGTCGAAACGAGCTGAACTTCCGGTGTCAAGATCGACCCGCTTCACGCCGTCGCCAGTCTGCGGGCAGAGGGCTTGAAGTTGAGGAACGAAGGCGGAGTTGATATTTGGATCCGCGCCGTTTAAGCTGGTGGCACTGAAGTTGTAGAGTCTGTAGCTGAAGAATTGACATGCTGCCGTACCAATGGTATGTCCACCTGTTAATATAAGAGAACAAATTTGTCAATTTTAACCCAAAGTGTAACATAATAGCATTTTTATTAGCATTTTCATGTGTTATCACTATCCAAAATTTGTCCATAAACGAGTACCTGTTATTAGTTTTGGTCTAACATAATAGCATTTTTTTAAATATTTTAAGAATAGAAAAATTACAAGTAATTATTAAAATGATTTCTACGTGTTCATGCTACAATTATGCTGTAATCGTTATCGTTATGATTTTAATTTTCTTATACGTAAAACATTCTAAACTTTTACTTTCACAAGTAAAATTGTACTTTATGTTCAACTCATTCTTTATTTATTTATTTATTTTTTCCTAGTTCAAAATAAGTAAAAGGAAAATGGACCGCAAGGGGAATATGTTAATTATAAATTATTATACATTAATTCTTATCAGTTTATTATTACCAACAAGGGTGACGAGATCTTGAGTGTTGAGACCCTTTGCTGCAAACTTCTGCTTTTGGGAATCGATGGATTCCGCAGGGCCAGGCAAACTGGAAACATCAGACGCCAATGAAACTCGTCCATCTCTTCGCCCAGTGGGAACTTGCCATTTAATTCCTTTCGTCTGTAAACAAAAACACAAGTTGTCAAATATATATATATATATATGTATGTATGTATGTATCGACACACACACACACATACACGTTAGAGTGCTATATGTTGTGGATGAGTAGTACTGCTATATCAATATGGCTTCGTTTCAAGTATTTATAATTTTATTATACAAGATAAATGGTTTTGTTATTTATAAATTAAGCTAGGTAGTGCCATTAATTACCAGAACGACAGAATCACGTGCAGCGAGTGCGAGAATATCGGCGCAGGAAACGACACCAGGGCAAGCAGCTTCAAGTTGGGTTTTAGCAGCATCGATGACGTCGTAGCCCGGAATGCCGCTGTTCGGGACGGTGCTCTTCTCGGTGTTCGGGCCGTCGATGAGGACGGAGCCGTCGCAGCCTTGGACGAAGCAGTCGTGGAAGTGCATTCTGAGTAAGCCGGGAGCTATGGCGGGATTGGATTTGAAATGAGACTCAACTGTTGAACTAACAATGTCTTCGGCTCTAGGGCACGTACTTGAATAGAACCCAAAACGTGTTCCTAATTGGCCATGCACCAAGGTGGCAACAAAACCAAGGTTCAGCAAAAGCAATGCCCAAATGGATGTTTTGAGTGAACAAGAAATGCCTTCCATATTGAGATTAAGGCTTTGTTTTAGTGAGAGCAAACAATTAAACTACGTACGTAAAAATTCTACTCTATTATGTGTTTTTTTCAAAGTGCTTAATTTGGCTCGTGGTTTTGGAAGAGTGAAATGATGATGAATTTATAGAGGAGTGGAAGGTCAAATAAGAGTGAGAAGGTAAGAAAAAGTGGCTATTGTAGAAGGGATCACTTAACGAAAAGGAAGTCAAAGTCGCATAATAAAACCAAAAAAATAGTGGGCACGACGTTTGTAGATAGGGTATATGTAGATTATTTTGTATATATAGCCCGCCCTGGAGTTGGTGATATATTGTCGTGAAACGAAGTGCTCCACTGGATTGCATAATACAATGTCTGGACCTGTTTTTGCGCGTGAGGATAAGTCAATGTCGTTTTCTTTCTTTTTCTTTCAAAAACCACAATTAAAACACGATTTCCTCTCCTCTCCTCTCTCTCTCTCTCTCTCTCTCTCTCTCTCTCTCTCGCTCTCTCTCTCTCTCTCTCTCTCTCTCTCTCTCGCTCTCTCTCTCTCTCTCTCTCTCTCTCTCTCTCGCTCTCTCTCTCTCTCTCTCTCTCTCTCTCTCTCTCTCTCTCTCTCTCTCTCCGCGCAAATAATAGTGGAGTATAATTACAATATCTCTTTCATTTTTTTTTTTTTTTTTTTTACACATAGTTTGGTCGAAGTATCAATATTTCTAATTTCTATATTCAATGCACCTCTTGTATTATTGTTCTCTCTCAGAAATTGGAATTCGTGCTTGGTGCATGTGGTGAGCTATACCGTACTCAAGCGCGACAATTAACATACTTGGACCATCTCGTAATGTTAATGTGAATTACATATCTATTACTAAAGTGTGATAATGATATTATTTGATATGTTGTTTTTATTTGTATTTCAATAGATAATGTTATTTCAAATAATAAATCTACTTTGGAAAATTTTTCAATAGAAGTTTTATGAATTTGCCATTAAGTATATAGCTTGTAGTAAATTTAACATCAAAATAAAATTATATTTGCGAGGAATAATCTCTGAACTAAACTCATTATTAATAACAAGAAGAAGAAAATAACATAAACGACATTTCGTTTATGTCTGGTGAAGAGTAATACTGCAAGTCGTTTATTCTGGAAGCAGTGCATCAAAACGCAACGTTTTGTTAATGCTGAGTTGCAGCAAGTAGCTGAGCAACACATGGCTGTAGAGTCGGTGCTGTGCTATCATCTTCTAAACGGGTGTGTATATATATATATATATATCCAATATACAGTTTGTTCTAGGGCTCGAGAGTTTTGGGGATCTCAGTTGTTTCCTAATTTCAGAGAGAGAAATCTAGAGAGAGAGACTGTACAATTTGGTGAGAGAAAATCAGTAAAGAGAGTTTTACTCTGAGTTTACCTTGTAAAACACTGTGAGATTTTCTTGGGTAATTTCTTGGGTATTTGGGATTTCTCTGTTCAAGAGTGTAATTGTGAGATCTGAAATGTATTCTTCTTCTTGATAGTGGAACAACTCTTGTGGAGGAGCTCAATAGGACATAAGTCAAACATTTTGGCCGAACCTGTATAAATCCTGGTGTTGTGTTCTTGTTTACTGTTTTGTTCTTTGTGGATTTTCTGTGCCTTAGTGTTAGATTCGTTCTAACAGTATTTAAGAGTGATTTCCTACCAAATACTAACATTTAACATTTGTATACTAAATGCTCTTACTTTAATACTACTAGACAGAGTATAGCTAATCATAAAATATAACGTGCATAGGATAATTATGAAGCGTGGCAATTAAACTCTTCCATTTTCTGCCACATCAAATTACTAGGGGATTTCAGCACAAATAGCCTTTTTTTAAGGAGATTTTTTTTTTTTTAAATGGCCAAAGTTTTGTAAAATTATAAAAATGAACATTTTGGTCAATCACTAATAGACTCAACGTTCAATGTGATAGACTCAGTGGTCAATTATTGATTGACTCAGCGGTCAATCATTGATTGACTCGATTATTTTTTATTATTAATGAGCATTCACTACTACAAAAAGCATTTTAAAAGGCGGGGCGCGGTAATTTTTAACATCGGTTCTTCGTAAAACTGATGTTAAACATAGGCAAAAACACGGAAAACATACAGGAGGGGGCAGAATTTTTGTATTTTGTTATTTTTATAATCTGTTTTTAAAAGTGTATTGTTGTTTATGAATTTATAACAATAGTTTTTGAAATGGCCGGTGTTACTTTTTATTTTTAAAGTTGGTTGCATTGCCCGTCTTTAAAAAAGTAAAAAAGAAGACGAATAGATACTGGCCGTCTTTAGAAAAGAATAAAAGAAGACGAGCAATGGAAGCCCGGCTTTAAAAATATTCAAAAACAATATGTGCTTGCGCAGGTTCTAAAAGTATTATACATTTTTTGGGTGCGTTTGAAACTCGTTACAAAATAATTTTATTTTTTGTATAAAAATAAAAATAAAAACGTTTTCAATCTCAGATAGAAATTATTTTTAAAAATGCGTTTGGTAGTTTTATCAAGAGATTATTTTTAATATAAAAAAACTTATTAATGTCTCTCTTTTTCTCTCTACTAGAGAGAGGAGAAAAAAAAACAAAAAATGAAAAACGACTAAAAGTCATTTTTCATTTATCTCTCATTTTACACTAAACCAAAAAATTATTTTCATTTTTATTTTTTGTCTTTATTGCACCAAACGCCGTTTTAGAAACGTTTCATTTTTTCTTTCTCCAAAAACGTAAAAAATAAAAACGGGATCAATTCTAAACATGGCATTTCGTTTTCTTTTGCAATTTCCCTCTCAAGAGTGCCATCTCCTCTTTCTCTTACTCTCTCAGCTTCCGCTTAACTATCGCACCTCCACCAAAGAAGACAACCTTGATTGCTCGTCGCCAAACAGACTCAGTCACCTTTGGTAGCCATCCAAGACACCCGTGCACCTCCGTCAGCCGGCTAATGATTGCGCTCACCTCCGCAACTACCAATAGACTCGCTCCCAATAGACAACTATAAATACCCTATAAGGCTCCCTATTATGTTCCAGTTCAGATTATGCGATGAAAGTTCTTGTTTTAGGCTTTGGTAGGTTTATTGAACCAGGTTTGATCCTATGTGTGTTGTGAGAGACCTTAGTGTTATGGGTCTTTTGATATCAGTTGATTGGTTTTATCCATCAACCGTAGTGATTTTATTAAACGAGCTTTTGTTGAGCTCAATTATTAATATGTCAAACAGGTCTTTTTGCATTGAGAATTGACACTCGTATTCGCCTTTGTACCACATTTATTTTTACTGGTGGATCCAATTCTCATTCATGGTCATTTGCGACTATCATAAAGTCTGTATTGACTTAATTATCAAACATAATATTCCCTTTTCTATAACTGAAGCTGCTGCACGTAATATTTACATCTTCCAGCACTACAGTAGAAACTCTTCGTCGGATGCGTTGACATATATAGATATAAATATATTTTGGATCAATCCTAATTCAGCATTGAAGATTTAACCAATCAGCCATTATATCCAATTCAAGAATAGGTTGACATTGACCCAACCATGCAAATTGGTTTTATAAGCTAAAAGGTACGAAGAATACGTCCACATGAACAAGATCAACCAAATATATAGAAGTGCAAGAATTTGCTAGAAAAGAACGACTTGCCTTATGTGATAGTTTCATCAGGAGTCTACATAAGGACACTAATTATTGTTTTCGTAGTATTTTTTATATAATCAAAACTATAACCTATTTTGTTTTATTAAACAAAGTTAACAACCAATTAAACATATTGTTCAAGTGTATATAGGCGCAGCACTAAATGTCATATATGATCAATTTTAGATAATTTTATATTAAAAAAACAAGTGGTTAACTTATTTAAATATAAAAGTGATGAAGCGGAAGCTTAATTAGAAAACACGAAACAATTGTAAGTAAAAAGCTAAACCAGTTAACCTGTTGATATGTCAAGAAAATTAGTTCAAGACCATTGAATCACACAAAATATCAGAAATTAGTAACAAAATTTTTCTCTAATTCACAAAGAGTATCGGGGATTGGAAGAAAATGAGACAAAACTCAAAATTTCATCAACCATAACCGGTTTTCATTACAAAATAGTGCATAAATATATAGGCAAAATGAAAACTAGAAACTAGTCAATTTTATAATAAAAAATAATAAAAATATTAAAGCCTTCAGGAAAGGAAAATTTGGAACTGGAAATAATAATTGAAACTATCAGACATAAATAATAAGGAAAAACAATAGGAACTAGAATATGAAATTTCTAGGTGGACTTATAACGATGACAGAAATTACTAAAAATGGTAAAAATGCATTTTTAAAGGCTTAAAAGATGAAATTTGCCTGAAAAGCGTTCGCCCATTCCCACCCAAAAAGCACATATTCTGCATCTAAATCCAACATTATCCAAAGTACTTATGAAAACCGTAACTTATTTTATTAGGCTTTGAAATGATCCAAACGCGCCATAAAGTCTATATCCTTCCGCATCGTATCAACAAATCATAGGCAAAACTAGTCTCATTATACTTTTTATTGAATCGAATGCATTTCTAATATCATAAAATAGTACTTTTGGTTGTATTTAACGTTGTAGAAATTAATCAACCTAGTGAATATTTTCTTTTCCAACATCGGGAAACAACAACAACAACAACAAACAATAATAACAACAAGCCTTAATCATAACTTAATTAGGGTCGGTTATATGGATTTCACTTTTTCACGCAGCTCCATTCGAAATTAGACTTTTCTGAAGGCCTAGATCTAGAATGTCTTTCTTAACTACTTCGGTCCACGTAATTCTTGGTCTACCCCTCCCTCTCATAGTATTAGGTATAACAATGTCCTCCCAAGCACGAACTGGTGCTTCTAGCGGTCTACGTTGGACATGCTCGTACCACCTCAAGCGGCCTTCGCGCACCTTATCTTCTATTGGTGCTACACCTACTTTACTATGAATAACTTCATTCCTTATGCGATCCATTCTCGTATGGCCATTCATCCATCTTAACATACGTATTTCTGCCACACTCATCTTAC